GCCGTTTCACGGTCGCACGCAATCTGTAAACTGGGCATGTTGGGTATCGTTTTACTCGTTGTAACCTCATCTTTTATATTTCATTAAAAAAATGGGTAATTTGTTGTGTTTTGGGGCATTTAATTAAATTTGTCACTAAATTTTGGGGTTTAATAAGGAGTTGCGCTAATATTGCGCAACATAAAAATGTTCAACTACCACCATTTTATTCTATAGGGTCTTGGCATTCAGAAAATATATAATGTTGGGGGGTTTTACGTCATTTTCAGGCCTAAAATGTGGAATATAACATGGGTGCAAAAATTGAAAAAAGGGCCTCAGTCATGAAGGGGTTAATATAACACAATTTTAAAAAGGGGGATAGAGGCTCAAATGATTAATTTACTCACTGATGTTTTATATTTATTTTCTCATTTCCTTAAGGCTTCTCAAGAAACAGTTCTTTCACCGGGCATTAAAAGTGATGAAAATGAAGCCAGATAAAGATCCAAAGAAAGAAAAGGAGAAAGAGAAAGGAAAGACTGATAGTGGAAAGGAAGACGAGAAAAAAGGGAAAAAGGACTCATCTAAGGATGAGAAAATCAAGAAAGAAAAGGAAAAGAAAAAGGATGGAGAGAAAGAGGAAATCAAAAAAGTAAGATCAGTGTCTCCCAGTCATTTCTGCAAGAAAATATTGTAAAAGAATCGTATATAATGTTTACATGTTTAGAATAATACCGCTGCAATGTTATCATAAAAAAGTATGTGTCAGTGTACCTTTTAAAAGTGAATACAAACATTGGTTTTCTTCCATAGGATGACACTCCTGGAACTCCTAAGAAGAAGGAAACCAAGAGAAAGTTCAAGCTGGAGCCCCATGAGGATCAAGTCTTCCTGGATGGCAATGAGGTGAGGCTCCCAGCAGAAAGTCACTTCTACAGCACAGGGATTCTTCTAGTCTATGTATTGAAATATTCAATTATACTGGAAGTATTTTAAAACTGAAACAGTAGTTCCAGGAATCTTCAGTGTGCAAATAAAAAAAAAAAAAAAAAAGAGAAATCCCATTCAGCTATCGTATCTGATTGTTATGGGTCAAACATAACCACACCTAATGGAAAATACAACCCATCTGAATGCTACAAAATACTCAGGCTATAGTGTGCACATAGCAACTACAGTAGTGGTGTCTTCGTAAGCATTATCTAATGTTCAAAGCATTGATATCTACTCTTGATTATAATAACTTTTAAATATGATCATTGTTTTTAAGTGAAACAGTGTTCACGTAAAATGCACTAACTGCAGACTGACAGGTTCCCTCACATATGTTCATCGTGGGGTGAACGAGAGAAATCGCTGTATTCCCCATCCAATGCTGAACAGTGTGGATGAAGGAATCATCACCTGCTGACTATTATATTCAGACAGCAGGCACCCACAATTATCTGAATACCCAACAGTGACTGCATGTGATTGGATGTCACAGTTCAACCAACAATTTTCCACCTGGTACTGACAAGGGTACTCAAGAATTGGCCAAAGTTTGAGCCATGAATGGCTAGCATTAGACCACCTAAGCTATGGGGTCCTCAGGTGCTCTAAAAAGGAATGTAAGTGTTTAGATACCTCCTTTATATATCTGCCTGCATTTTACTAGCGCTCAAGCAAGCACAGATTTAATAAAAATAAACCTTTCCTGAGAGATGAATTGATGCTGCTCTTGGTGACGATGCCCATTGCCTAGCCATTTTACTGACCCTCATGATTCAGTACTTTGAATCAGTAATGCAGTACAAGCATGCTCTTATGGAAAGTCACAGTAAAGTTGGATGCCCTGATCTTAATACTTGTTCTTAGTCAGTGAGGGTCAACATGACAGGCAGCCAGCTGAGAAGCAGCAATGTTAACCTTTTTTTTTTTTTACCCAGAAAAGGTTTTTTGAATAGTAAAAAAAAATCACCATTTTAAAATAATCTCCCCTCCACTTTTTCTTTAACGTATATCTAAACCAAAATGTTTTGTGTTTTCATTTTGGATAGGGAAGCTAAAACTCCTGTCAGTTTATTTAGCCTTCTGTGACCAATTAGGGAGATTTCCCTTCTCTCCCTGTCTTGATGACACAACAGATCTTTTCAAAGTGAGGAAATCCTTCTAAGATAGTTGTCACCAGGACAAATATGATGAAAATAACTTGTCAGAGTTTCTAATCCTTCACCTTTTGTGTGTGAAACTTTGTCCAAGGTTTTGGCTTTAGGTACGCTTAAATGTTTGTAATAAAATAATACAGTTATTTCTAACTAGGAAAGGTAGTTTATATGGTGCAGGAAGGACATGCAAAACAAAATCGTATACAGTCAGGAAAATAATGATTTGATCCCCTGCAGATTTTGTAAGTTTGCCCACTTACATAGAAATGAAAGGTCTATAATTTTCATCATAGGTGTATTGTAAATGATAGAGACAGAATATCAACCAAAAATCCAGAAAAAACAGATGATACAAATGTTATGAATTGAGTTGCAGTTCATTGAGTAAAATAAGTATTTGATCCCCAAGCAAAACATGACTTAGTACTTGGTGGAGAATCGCTTGTTGGCAAGTACCGAGGTAAGACCATTCTTGTAGTTGGTTACTAGGTTTGCACACATCCCAGGAGGGATTTTGGTCCACTTTTCTTTACAGATCTTCTCTAAATCCTTAAAGGAGAACTATGGGGTTAAGGCTTTTCCCCATAGTTCTCCTTAGGGTAACGGGAGAACACAAACTAGCGTCCTCCCGTCACCCAAAGCTTAGTATACCGCGAGCTACAGCTCGCGGTCACAGGTCGGCTAGAACTATGAGGATGAGTGAAAAGCACTCACCTCATAGTTCTCCTTTAAGGATTTTTGGCTTTCGCTTGGCAACAGTTTTAGCTCACCTCCATAAATGTTCTATAGGATTAAGGTCCCGAGACTGGCTAAACCATTAATTTCTTTGTAAGTGGGCAAACTTACAAAATCTGCAGGGGATCAAAAAATTATTTCCTAAATGTATTCAGAGGGAGATGGATGGGAATATAAAAAGGCAGAGTTTAATGGTAAAATTTGAGTCAATCAAGGAAGAAAAAGTGACAACATGTCACTCCTTAGTAGGTATTGGTCAGCCCCTGCCCTGTCTAATGATATTGTAACTCTGATATAGAATAAAAAATATTCTGTTAGATTTTATTGTGTGGAAGGCTCCAACATAGTATGAAATTAATTGTTTTTCCTCCACTATACCTATTAGTCATTGAATAGACTTCTTTTTTTATTTTACAATTTCATTATTATATGCTTCAGTATTTAAAGCTTTTTCTTCTCATTTCTAAACTGTTACAAATGTTTTTAGGTGTACGTGTGGATATATGATCCAGTCCATTTTAAAACTTTTGCCATGGGGCTCATCCTTGGTAAGTGCATCCAGATGTTTGTAGCACAGGTGAATGTGTCTTGAAAGAGTTAATATCTTTTAGCATTCAAGGTGTTCTTACAGCATAACCAAGCACATATGCGTGTAATTCAGTTCAGACAATCCACCTCGGAAATAGTGTCCAATGTTCTATATTGACGTCTCCCTACTTACCCTTTACTGATAACAAAAGTAACAGTATTATGATGCCCGCTATCTCAAATAATACAACTGGTTTCATTTTGATTTACATATGGCCTGTAGATGCAGCTCATTTTACAAGCCTGTTGTTGCGCTCTGGGTGTCTGTAATAATTGAGAAGGTGTCTGAGAATTGGTCCATTACCTCTAAAAAAACAAAACATTATTTTTGATAATTTGCTTGTCCTGCTTATACGTTCTCTTCCAGTTAGAGCAGAAGTATCAAGCTAGTCTGTAAGGCCGTCCCATCTCCTGTCTGAACTTGCTGCTGATCAAAGACTGTCATATAACAGACGCACTGTCAGGATTACATAAAAGAAAACCAAAAGATTTCTTGAGGAATACTGTTCACTAACAGCCTGGACTTACTGTGTCCGTTATCCGCCCCTAAGCTCTTGCAGGAGACGGATCAGCCTTCTAAGGCCTTTATAGATTGACATTGAGCTAAATCTTCTGCCATGCCAGAGAAGAGGATACCATTAAAAGAGAAGTAAAAACAAAACTTTTTTTTGGCTTTACTTCTTGTTAGTGACCCAAAGTCAGCATATAGAGGTCGACTGCCTGATGTATGCTGACAGTGCAGAGCCTGCGGCGCAGTCAGGAAAGATCTTGACAATATTGTCAGAATCCGGCCTGGCTGCCAAATTGACAGCTGGCTCTGCCTCTCTAGAGCCAGTGCCATCTGTGCCCACCCCTTCCCCTGTCTTTCCCTCCAGTAAGTGGTGGAGGAACAGAGAGGGGAGGGAGGAATCCCTGCGGGGAGCTGTGACTGACAGCAGATTATAACAGATGTTCTGCAAAAATACCGTCATTGAGCAAGTTGTCATCTTACATCTCTTCTGTTTATTGACAATTTGCAATATGGGTTTTATTAATGGACAATGCACTTATATATCCATATGTCTGTGTATGTCTGTCTATCGCTCACAAACAAGTATGTATATATTTACATATACACACACAAACATGGACAAACCTGTTGGTACCCTTCCACAAAAAATGAACCCACAGTTTTCTGTGAAATAATTTCAAACTGGCAAAAGTAATTGGTATCCATCATTGTTTATGCCAGACTTTGCTTTTGATTCAACAAATATTTTCAATCATAAAACAAATAGTACCAGCATGGACAAAAATGATGGCACTCTTAAACCAATATTTAGTTGCACAACTTTTGGAGTCAATTATTGTAAACAAATGATTTCTGTAGCTCTCGCTGAGACTTCTGCACCTGCCAACAGGTAGGTTGGCCCTCTCTTCTTGAAGTAAACTGCTCCAGCTGTGTCAGGTTTGGAGGGTATCTTCTTCAGACTGCATGTTTCAGCTCTTTCCACAGATGTTCAATAGGATATAGATCAAGGCTCATAGAAGGCCACTCCAGAAATGTCCAATGCTTTGTTTAGCCATTCTTGGGTGCTTTTAGCTGTGTGTTTTGGGTCATTATTCTGTTGGACGATCCATGACCTGAGACTGAGCTCTCTGACACTGGGCAGTACGTTTCGCCCCAGAATTCCTTGATAATCATGACATTTCATTGTGCCCAGCACAGATTCAAAGCACCCTGTGCCAGATGCAGCAATACAGCCAGAAAACATAACCAATCCTCCTCCATGTTTCAAAGTATGTATGTTATTCTTTTCTTCAAAAGCTTCATTTTGTTCTCTGTGAACATAGAGCTGTGACTTGCCAAAAGGCTCCAGTGTTGTCTCATCTGTCCAAAGGACATATTCTGAGAAGCATTGTAGCTTGTCAATATGCATTTTAGCATTTGTTATGGTGCAATCACAGATTTATCTTGACCTTGAAGTATCTCTGAAAGTTTTCCTTGGCTCTTTGTCTACCAATCTGGGGAAGATTGTTCTCTTGTGGCCACATCCAGGGAGATTGGCTACACTCCCATGGACTCTAAACTTCTTAATAATATTAGCAAATTGAATCACAGGAACATCGTGCTGCTTGGAGATGGTCTTACAGCCTTTACATTTCACATGTTGGTCTGTAATTTTCTTTCTGATCTTCTCGGACAACACTCTCCTTTGCTTTCTCTGGTCTGTGATAAGTGTGCTGCACACGATGATAGCAAACTGCAAAGCAACTATATTTCTCTCCTTAAGTAGGCTGACTGACCGATTCCAAGGTTGAAGACGTGTTTGATTTTAATTGCAGAAAAATGTTTGCAATATCACTATTTTATAATCTTTTTTTACCGGTACCAACAGATCTCTGCAGGCCATCTTAAAATATATTTTACAATGGCAATAATTGATCTCTTTTTACGCTTTCTTTGCTTTACTCTATGACCTGCAAAAGGCATGCAGGTACAGTATACATGAGACAGGTGCTTTTAATTTCACTTTTTAGGAGAATTGAAGCATTGTTTCAAAAAGCTTTGAGGGTACCAACAAATTTGTTCATATATCTTGGGATGGTATTTGCATACATTAAAGAGTCAATGCCCATCAAGAAGAAGCCAATATTCTGATACAGTAGTCACAAACACTCTCAGGACTTTAATACTGGAGACAAGTTGCTAGCATTATATTTAATGTGATCTGAGGTTTTGGTGGAGAGCACCCAACTTTCTCAAGGTCTCAGTGCCCCAAACTACAAAAAAATTTGTGTGTAGATGTCCTTAAAACTGATTTTGTTAAAGACTTGGTTTTGGGTTCCAGAGATTGTTCTGCTTCAAGAAAATGTTGCAAGTTAAATATGAAACAAGAATGTGAAATGCAAAGAAAAATGTACTGCACATTTTTTTAGATGTGTGGGCAGAACCTGGAGAAAGAGTTAGAGGGGCGTAGGGAGTTAAGATGTTGCCAGTATCTGTACCTATCATTGTTATTTATTGCATTTGTACTTGTGTGTGCCCATATAATTGATAATTCTTCTCTTCTGTTACAGTGATTGCAGTGATCGCTGCCACACTCTTCCCTCTTTGGCCAGCAGAGATGCGTGTAGGGGTGTATTATCTCAGTGTGGGAGCTGGGTGTTTTGTGGCCAGTATTCTGCTGCTTGCTGTTGGTAAGCATTTTATATAAATATATTTAGCATTTAATCTGCTTTTGTTATTCTCCTTTGTAGCCGCTAGGTGTCCTCATTACTAAGCTCTGTTCCTTTTGATCTGTCAGTGACTTAGCATTTACTGGAAGTGTGGCAGAAATACTTTTGCTTCCCTATCTAGCAGTTTTAACTACCAGACTATATTGCTACTTCGATTTCACAGGTGCAGTTAATGCAAGTGCAGGCCAACATAGTAAAAAAAAGAATGATTTGCACGTTAATGCAGTGCATGCGCTCAAACCTTTGCAGTCAGCCAATCTGCACATAATGGCTACAACAAAATATCATGTAATAACATTTTGACATTGTAGTTATAATTGCAGATTGATACACTATTTAGACAGAAGCCACAGATTAGAATCCCAGCTGCCAGATTTACAGCCGGGCCCAGTCTGTCACACCCAATTGAGTAGGTGCAGCAAGTAGGGATGGGAGTGCAGGACATATCAGAGTTATTTCCCCAGTAACTAAAAGTATTAAAGTGCAACTTCTACATCTCAGATCTCTAAGCGCTTCAATAATCCTAATAGTGTTCAACAGTAGGTTAAAAGTGTACATTTGTGTCAAGTGCATATTATTTGTGTTAAGATTTTAGTGTTTGAATTTTCTGTATGTATTCTATTTTCAGCTCGATGTATTCTATTCCTCATCATTTGGCTCTTGACTGGCGGTAGACACCACTTCTGGTTCCTGCCTAATTTAACAGCAGACGTGGGCTTCATTGATTCCTTCCGACCACTGTATACACATGAATACAAGGGACCAAAGTCTGACCAGAAAAAAGAGGAGAAAGCAGATTCCCAAAATCCTATAAAGTCTGACAGTGAGGATAAATCTGACAGCGAGAAAAAGGAAGAGGAGGAGGAGGGTAATGTTGCTGATGCAGCAGATGGATCAGGCACAGAAGGCTCAGGTGCTGACAGGCAGTCAGACACAGACAGTGACAGGAGAGAGGATGACGGCTCGCAGCACAGTAACGGCAATGGCAATGATTTTGAAATGATCACGAAAGAGGAACTTGAACAGCAAACAGATGAAGGAGACTGCGAAGAAGACGACCAGGATTTAAAAGCAGAGTCAGAGCCTCTTCATGATAAATCTTAATACGTCGGCCAAGCTGTAGGACTGATTATATACAAATGAAAGGATTTTTTTCCCGTGGAGTGATCACCAAAACATTTACATACATCTCTTCACTGTTTCTTTTCCAATATGCAGGATCTGTAGGGATCATCAATTTCACTAGGCTAAAAAATTAGTGTTATGAAAAAAAAAAACTTACATTGATTATCAAAGATTTTTTGTGTTTTTTTTCTAGTTGATGATAATCCAAAATGTGAGGGATTAGATGCACATTCTTCTCCTGCTTGTCCATAGTGTTCAGTCATGTACAGTCCATTGGTTTTGTGGGTTAGATGAAGCTGATCTGACCTGTGCATGCTGCTCACACACATTGTTGCCTGTCTGGTGCATGTAATGCAATAAGGTCTGTTCATTTCAGGATGTGTTTGGGGTAAATCTCAGCAGCTCTCAGTTGTAGCAAAGTATTTAATTCTACGTCTGTCCTTCAGGAGGTTAGCCTCTTTTATAATGCTTGAACTAGTCAGGGTGTCTTCAGCACCTGGCAGTAAAGTGCTATGACCTTAACTGGACATCTGACTTCTGTTCGTAAGTGTTCTTTTTTTTTATTGATTTTGATGATCCCTATTTAAATATAGTTCATATTCTGTCCGTCCCTTTTATGTATATTAAAGATTCGATTTTTTTAATACAACCTTTAACTATCATGGACAACCCTTCTGTCTAATAGTTGAATTGACCATTTTGGTTTGTTTTAAAGCTAAAAAAAAGTACTGTGCTTTATATGGTATTGATGGTACATTTTGCCACATAACTGCTTTTGTATGTGGTAGAGATGAAAATAATCTGTTGTATATCGGAGATGTTCAACATTAAATTAATAAGATTTATGTACTTCAGATTTTGAAGTCCAAACTTACCGTCACCCTTAGTATAGTAAGATATAATAAGGCAGGTGACCGGGAAAGAACACTTTGTAATTAGAATTCATTCCCTGGTACTTATATGAGCTCTTGAAGTATCCATTTTGTCCAGTGAGAAATGTTAACATTTTGGACATGGGGAACCTTTAGGTCTTCATGGGTCTGTGATGATAGGCAAAGTGCTGTATCCCACAGCTGCCAATAAGAATTGGTGTGGCTAGGGTTAGTTATACTTTGTATATCACAGGACTAGATTGGACAGATTTGCTTCTAAATTCAATATTCATTCGTCCCGCGCTGGTATACCATCTTTGCTGTCTGTAAGTTTTTGAATAAGGCAGATGGCACAGAATGTTAATGAAAACAGTGTACAGACAGGTTAATCCAACTGCCTATGTTTCCTGTGATGGTGAATAATATTTCAGTATCGGATATACTAAACAGTTGTACAACTTGGGATAAATACTAATTCTAGTGTTGATGATTTCAGTTTCCCAAAGTATGCCAGAAAAGACAGATTTACATTTCAAAAGCAGAAGATCAGTAACTTGCTAAAGCACCATCGCCAAGCCTTCCTGACCTATGACAGAAACTTGCATTTCCTGCAGTCTGTCATATAATTACAGGGTGGGCATTATACCTGTCTATGCCAACATTAACCCTACCCCAGCATCTCTGGCTGCCACATACTCTCCTGTCTCTACCCTTTAACATCATAACTTGCCTTGTTCAGCACCACGCAACCTCTTCTTTAAAATCCTCTTAGTCGGATCCTGCTGCTCCCACATGTGTTCCACAAATGTTATTCCAGTTCATACTCTGCCAGGGTGAGCGGCCGTGCAAGATCATGCTGAAGCTGGTGCAGACAAGTATGTGACCTACCAGGGTTGCTAGGGTGGAGTTTTGGGACCCACTAAAGGTAAGGGAAGCCATAGCAACTATCGAAAGCCACCTTGTATTGACTTGGCGACGTTTTACTGTTCGTGCTGTTCTTTAATTCGTCCACGTGTGGCCTACACCACTTGAAAGAGATATATCTATCGGCTTTTGGCCCATTGAGCAAAAATCACTGCCTTATAATAGACTAATGCAAACATATATGTTGGACACCCCACATATACAATATTGATGATCAGGAATTTTTCCAGCATAATTGTTCTCTTTCTTTGTTTTGCTTATCCGCGCCTTCTCTTGACCAAACTAAAAAAAAAAAGACTAAAAAAAAAACCCCTTTTTTCTGTCAGCTGGTTAACAAGCTTCATGCTCCTTTTGACATGATCAGGGTGCATTTGCTATTTTACACAAGTTACTTTTTCAAAACAATGTGTTTAAACAGCAAGTTCTTTCTTGTGGTATTGGCATTGTTAGTCTCCCTTCGGTGAAATCACTTAAGCAGGTAATTTGTATTTGCTGGAGATTGTTCTAGAAAGTTTGTTCTATGCTATATTCCCTCTCCCTAATATAAATACCTACCATTTAGTATGTGTAGCTGTTATTTGTGTAAACGAATGTCACCAAGCAGGCCAAGATGATGGAAAAGCAGTCGATGGTGTCGGGGGAGGCTTCTTCCTTTTTTGAAATCGGACTATAGACTAAAAAAGGAAAGAGGATTGAGAATCGTTATGATGTATTTGTAAAAGTCTGTGCACCTTTTAAGACACCATTTTGAAATGTATAGTCATGTAAAAGCAAAAAAAAGAAAAATGCAAAAAAAAATCTTTAATGCAAACATTCAAGTTGGTTGTAATTCAATAAACTGTAATATCAGTGGTTGTTGCAAATGTTTGTTAACATCACTAACCTACAAAAAATGGCAAGCAAAATTGTCCTGTTACCAGCGACTGTCTCCGTACCACTTTCTTTGACATATTGGCAACTGAGGCTTCTTAGAAAGATACTGAAATTAAAGGAAAATTATGGGGTCAGGGCTTTTCCCCATAGTTCTCCTAAGGGTAACGGGAGGACACAAACTAGCGTCCTCCTGTCACCCTAAGCTCAGTATACCGCGAGCTACAGCTCGCGGTATACTGAGACGCTGCAGCCGGGATGGATCCCGACAATTACGGTATGTCTAGATCCGCCCAGCTGCGTGAGTGACAGCTGGCTCTGCCTATCTAGAGGCAGAGCCAGCTGTACCCTCCCCCGTCCGTTCCGCCAGTCAGCGCTAGAGGATCGGACAGGGGAGGGGGGGGAATCCCTGCAGGGAACCGTGAGCGACAGTCAGGGCTCTCTGCAGGGACACAATTGAGAAGTGAGCGAACGCCGGTATGTGTTCGCTCACCTCCCGATCTACTGAGCCGACCTGTGACAGTTTCATTGTCACAGGTCGGGTAGAACTATGAGGTGAGTGATTTTCACTCGCCTCATAGTTCTCCTTTTAACCTTAATATTCGGATAGTATATTTAATATTACCCACTTTGCTTACCCAATAAAACCCACGTAGCTATATGAAATGAGTCAAATTTGTAAAAACATTACCTGTGCCATATTCTTTTGTAGGTAGCTTGCGCCTGCATACCACTGTCTTCTGTTAGAAACACTTGTAAAACCAAGGCTAGGTGTAACTCTCTGCAGAAACTGAAGTGGGTTTCTCCTGTATATTACAGCTTGGTGATAGAGATATAATGCAGTTATTAATATGAGGGCCATAACGCATTAAACAAAATCGCATGGCTTTAATGCTGCCAATAAGGCACATTATTGAAGGTGGGCCCCTCTGTGTTATAGGGACACAAGATGGGTATTTCCTGCCGTATGTATGCTGTGCTATAGATTATATACTTCGTACCAGTCACCTGTGTACACTATGTACATACTACAGAGTGCCCAACTGTAATATGTGGTGCTGTACATAATCAAAACTGCTTTACAATGCTGTATATTACATACTGTAGGCCACTCTGCTCTGTGCACTTTGCTGCATATTGTTATACTCTGCACTTCTCCACCCTGTTGTGCTGTTAGTTATATACCCTGGACATTCCCACTCTGTCCTCTGCGCTGCACTTTACATACTTGAGTCTACCCTGCCCCATATGCTGCACATGTTTGATACTCTGGTCCATGGCATCCTGTGCAGTATTTATATACTGTGAGCTGCTCCACTCTGTGTGCTATGCAGTATTTTGCATATTTTAGGCCACTCCACTCTATACACTGTTCTGTTTATTGTACCTTTCACACTGCTAAATTCTGTGCACTGTTACGTATCCCATATTGCTAAGCATTACAGTATTGTTGTCATAGTAGTTACAGTCATGTGAAAAAGTAAGTACAGCCTATTGAAATTGACTTTTCTTAATTGTACATTTACAGGACACAGGGAGTTTATTGCCTTCCATGGCAATGTGTGCAGCTTGTGTGGTTAGCCACAAGGTGCTTTATAGCAGTGGTTCTCAACCTGTGGGTCGCGACCCAAAAGTGGGTCGCAACCCACAGTTTAGGGGGTCCCCATGTGCCTTGTGCTGCTCTAGGTAAGAGGCTCCACAGCCTCCTCCTAGCATGGCAGTTCTCTTAAATGGCGCTGCAGCATCCGCGACCGGAGAGGATCAGAGAGAGGGGAGCAGGCAGGAGTGAAGGGAGGTAAGTGCTTGGGCACCACAGAGCCCGCACTGGGCACCAAAGAGAGTCCCACTAGCCACCTGAGAGCCCGCATAGCCTCCCGAGAGCCCACAGATACTAGTATTGGTGCATCCCTAAATTTTATGGTTGGGGGTCACCACAACTTGGCAAATGTTACCAAGGGGTCCCGGCCCTAGAAAGGTTGAGAACCACTGCTTTATAGGTCCAGGGCCTTGGTCTTTTAATTAAGCCGTGAACCTAAAGACCACCCCTGGGGTGGTATGCCCATCTGGAGGGTGAAGATCAGATTGTATATCCTCACTGACTGCTGCGCATCCATGGTAAAGGACCAAAAGCCTCTCGGGTCAACCTCCATGGGTGCCCAGGCAGTAGCACCAGTCCCCTAATGGGTTAGATCTGCTGCTCAGGCTCATGTTAGGAGTTGTGCTTTAAGGTGGACTTGGGCTTTATGAAATTTAAAATTGGCACCATTTCCATGTGGCCTAAGAGCCAAGAACAGCAGCCGTGCAACCTCCCCTGGTTATTGTACCTCCTCTTTGTTACTGTATTGCACATGTGCCTGCCATTTTCCCCTTTTGCTGCATGTGGTCTGCATGTGTTTGCGGTAAGAACTGTCTGCATCAACCCTTACGAAGGTCATGAGTTTGGGGTCTATGAAAATGCCTAAACCTACTGACTGTCATTCACTTGATTTTACAGCCTGAATTGTATGTTGACTGGGATCACCCTGAGAAAATATTCTCTCTGTATCCTATTGTGGATTGCTTCCTTAAAAAGGGTACGGTCCCTACTGTGAACCCTGCCATCTCTTGTATGAACAAAAGCCTTTAAGTCCCTGTAGAGGATGTACCTGTTTTCAAAGACCACACAGACCAGCGGTTAGAAACCTTCTTTAAACCCTTATTTGCAGCTGCTGGCCTGGCAGTAAAGTACATTCTTGCCTCACAAACAGAAGCCAAAGACTCCGATACCTAAGTTTTCTGTTCCCTCCTGTAAGAAAAGTTGCTTTCATCCTCCACAGGCTTCAGTGTATGCAGTTCCATCATAAGTCTTGGACCTCCAAGCCTGCCTAAGGCAAGCAGTAAAAGCCATCTTTGCAAAGAAGGGGTGCCCCCATTTTTCAAGTGTCAGGACCTCTTTAAGCTTTCTCAGCACTCTAGGCAAGGGATATTCTTCATTCTTTGGTTTATAGTGCCATTTCCTAAGGCTACAAACTGGAGTTTTGCTCCTTGTCCCCTCTTTCCTGTTATCCCATCTGCCCACA